GAATTCCATCTAGTAGGAACATCCATCCATAGCTTTACACCTGTAGCAAAATTACAACTAGAAACACACCCCTCAAACCTTATAAGTCTAGCTTCAGAAGAATCAACATACTTCACATTCTCCCGAACTTTCGCAACAGATTCATCAATGACTTTCAAACCTTCTTTGACAATTAAGTTTAAGATATGGGCAGAGCATCTAACATGAAAATATTTGCCGTCAAGAGGTAATTTAGCCATTGCATCCAATTTAATTTGGAGTTTCCAACCATAGAATCCATATTACTTGCATTGTCAATAGTCATACTACAAATTTTTCTTTCAGTACCCCAATCTTTGATTAAACTAAAAACCAGATTATAATTTTCATGACCATTATGGGGAGGTGGAAAATGCCTAAAGTTCAGCACCTTAGACCGTAATTTCCAGTCATTATCCACAAAATGGGCCATAAGAGAAAAATAACCACGAGTAGTACAAGCTATCCATACATCACAAGTCAAGGACACTTTACTTGATAAGGCCTTAAACATATTACGAACATATTGCTTTAACACATCATGCTCTGTCATGCACCATTTCAATATTGTGTTTCTAGAAATAGTTCTAACCTTGGAATTCAAATATGTATGCAATTCCCTAAACCCTTCATGTTCAACAATACTTAAAGAATAACCATGCTTCAATATAGCTCTAGCAAATAACTTACAGTATTCTTTTTGGTCAAATTCAGATGCATTAGACTCATTAGACTTATCTGAATCTTTATATTGTTGGCACCTATCAAGGTATCTCTTTAGATTAGACGTACCAGTCGTACCACTATGTTTGTGGATTAATCTTTTGCAAAACTTGCATGCAGCATGTTCACCATTAATCTCAAAATTCTGCCAAATAGGAGATCCCTTTCCTTGAATTAGAGATATTGATTGATGGGTTTCAGGTGTTGGTGTAGCATTTCCAACACTCATGCATGTAATTGATGCTTGCTCAACCTCAAAGTCACCCACTACACCAAACAATCAGGCAAAGATTAGGAGTAAGATCAATAAAAATGCATAATTTATAATTAATTATAATGAACTATACCTCTTTCAGCTGCGTAATCAAATTCATCCTCAGCCATGATAGTTTGACCCCTTTAACACCAAAACATATTAACTGATTAAACCCCTAAAAATTATCAAGAACATCTAAATCTAAAAATTTGCCCAAAATGTTTTAATGCCTAAAATTATTTAAAATCAAAATGCTAAGCATAATATTAAAATGTAAAAATTAACTAATTAAACATATAAATTGTCGGAAAACAATGTTGAACAATTATTAATCAGGAAGATTATATGTTTTAGATCCATAATTTATGAGTAAAATTCGAACCTGAAAATTGGACCGATTACTCACTCATTACTCACTCCTTGACTCCTTGTTGAAGGTAGAATATGGGAGTGAGAATTTGAGATTGAGAGTGGAATTGTGTGAGTCTGGGAGAGGCCGAGCAATGGTGAATTATAGCCATTGGTTGATCTCTGAATTTTAGTATATTAGGAAAGCTAGACTCTAATGGCAAGATTTGCGACTGAGAATTTTAGTATATTAAGAGAGCTAGACTCTAATGAAAGTAGAATACGGGAGTGAGAATTCGAGATTGAGAGTGAATAACTGATTATATTATTTTTGAGATTTTCCAATAATGCTCCCCTTATCACTCTTCTTTTTTTTTTTGTTTGTTTTGTAAGCTAATTAAGTCATAAAGTATTAAAGTATTACATTTTTCTCCAAATAACTAGCAATTTAGGATTACGTCATATCCTTTTTTTTCCCCCTAATTCTATGAGTTATTTTCCTATTTAAGCTTATTCAAATATTTTCAATAAAATTCTCTATAATCAAATGTATTACAATTTATATGTCTCAAAAAAACCTATAAAAATTTATGAATACTACTACTTTTTGGATGCATGTGCATTCTTTATTTAAATTTAGTAATTACGATCTACGAATACTACTACTTTTTAGGTGCAAGTTCATTCTATATTTCAATTAAACAATTATGGTTTACGAATACTACTACTTTGTAGCTGCATGTGCATTAATGTAGTCAATAACGGTTTACAAATACTATTTGACCTTAAGCTTGTTTGTTTTATCTTATATTTTATATAAAAAAAAAAATTTCAATTAAAAAAAAGTTAAAAAAAATAATAATTTTGGATAATGATTGAATTGAACGTGATAATGATTGAATGCTGGCATGAGTATATGACAATGACCAGATGATAATCTGACCCAAATAATTTACATGTACCCGATCATGACTTGACTTGTTTGGACTCGAGAAAGTGGTGACCCGAACTAGAGCTGTTAAAAGGCTTTTATTGGTCTTTTATTTTTCTAATTTTATTTTTCCTGTTTAATCTTATTTAAATGTTCTGAATAATGCCATTTAAATGTTTTAAAAAAATGTCATAAAAAAAAACGTGAACTCGGATATGAACTTATGAAAAATAAACAAGTTTAGATAATTTCAAATAAAATAAGTTTAGAAAAAAAATTGTTGTATTTTAACTTATCTAAACTAAACCTATTTTATCCGAATTTATATGAACTTATTACATTTTATCTAAACATGTCATCTCGAATACGAACTTATCTGAAATTGTTATCCCTAAAATGAGTGGAATCAATGTGAATAGATTAGAATAGGGTTTGAACCTATCTTCTAAAAATCTAAACTAAACCTATCTTATCTAAACTTATTAGAACTTATTATTTCGAATTTAAACTTATCTGAAACTATTTCTCTTACAATAAATGAAGTAATTGATAATGAGTAAACGTGAATGTCATTACATGAACTGTTAACAAATCGACCCAAAAAATGTACTCGAACCTGATATGACCCGACCTGAAATCAACCCGATACCCAGATTAACCCAATATTTGAGACCCGAACACGAACATGACCTGACTTGGAAATGATCCGACCTAATCATAACCTGCAATATTTTGACTTGAACCAAACACAACTTGAACCAGAACATGACCCGACTTGTAAATGACCCGACCTGCTTGTAACCCGCAAATAATTGACTTGAACCGAACCCGACTTGAACCCGAGAATGACCTGACTTGGAAATGACCCGACCTGATTATAATCCGCAAATTATTGACTTGAACCGAACCCGACTCAAACCCGAGAATGACTTGACCTGATTATAACCCGCAAATTATTGACTTGAACCGAATCCGACTCGAACTTGAGAATGACCCCAACCCGTTTTACCCCGTGAAAATCCGAATTAAACCCGACCTATTATTCACCCGACCCGAATGTAACCCGACCTGTTATTAACCCGACCTAAACCCGACCCAAACCCGAAAAGATGTATGACCCGACGTTACCCGACTCAAGCATGACCCAACCCGAACCCGACCCGTATAGGTTATGATATTAACCCGAATTGACCCGACCCACATTTACCGAACCTAAACCCGACCCGTTTTCCCGAAATGATAGCTCTAGGTTTATCGAGTAGTGGGTTGAAACAGATCATATCATAAACATATTGGGTTACGGATTGTAAACGGTTCAGTCATAACAGGTTACAGGTTGTAAACGGTTCGGTTTCAATGGGTTACGGGTTGAAATAGATTGGTTACAACGGGTTACAAGTCATAAACGGTTCAATCACAACGGGTTACACGTTGGAACGGTTCGGGTTAATTGGATATTTGCAGGGTTTAAACAGTTTCGATTTAAAATGGGTCGGATTACTATCAGGTTCGAACGTAATCGATTCGGGTTGTAACGGTTCAGCTTGATAATAGTTCGGGTCATTGACAATTTGCACAAATTTGATTAAGTTCAATATCGAGCTTAATTGGAAAAAACTCGGCCGCGCCGATTTTCAGTTTTCAAGAAACAAGTTTTTAACGGTTCTTGTACATGTCGGTTTAACGGTGTTCGGGTTAGGATTATATAAGTAAGATTGGTCCCACAAGGAAGACAAACCAATTAAAAAGAAGAAGAAGCTTCGCGGGAAAATAAAATTATAAAGTTAATTTTTGTTTTAAAGTTCCCTACTCCTAACTCACTAGGAGCATCCAGAAAAATCAATCAAATCATCATCATCTCGTGTTGCCACACATTATTTCTCCTCTTATTATTATTATTATTCAAATTTCAACCCGCTCTATTTTATTCCACCCAATTTGTTGCATATTTTTAGTAGCTTATTAGTTTTATTTCTAGTGGAAGAAATAAAGGCAAGCTAAGGGATCATTTGATTCTTTTGTTTCAGGTTGGTAATCTTGTTATTATGTTTTTAAACTATGATGCTATGTTTTTTTTATTGCAAAACTATGATGCTATGCTATTTTACTTGATTTATCTTTTGTTAAAGTAGAATATAATCCACCCTTTTTCTATCTTTATATAAGTTGACAATTGTGATTTCAGTTACGCATTATAAAAAATGGATTCGCTTGATCTCATTTTCTTAAGAATGCATATGCTCCTTGTTACGAATTTATTAAACAAGTTGTCACATTATCTCGAACTTTTATAATTTACAAGTAATGTGGAATACTTCTCATTAACAGCATACTTATTTTACTTTTACTATTTTGCTACTTTGGATTTGTGGACAGAGCATGAGAAGCCAAGTGAAATCATGGCTATTCTTTTTTATGCCATAAAATTTGCTAGAAGAGCTTGAACTACAAGAAATACAGGTTGTTATAGTTTGAATCGTTTAATATAGTAGTAGTTAAATTCTTGGTATAACTGTAAAAGTAATGGTCTAATGGAGTGTTATATTTAATCATAACTAATAAGTAGATAAAATGGTAAAGATTCTTATCTAATTGTTTTAGTCCCAAGATTAAACCTTTTTTTCTAACACTTTTAAAATGTCATACGTTTATCTTGGTTGTCTGGATGACATGGCATGTTCTAGACATACTAGTGCACGACAGGGTTCCACGTGACACATCTACTTTCTTAGGAATGCTTTTTACATATCAGTATAGATGGAATATAGAACGTAACAAACATCAGTATTTTTCAGGTTTAGAAGTCTTCGAAGTGATCATATTTCTCAATGAAATACACCCAATTGCTAGGATTTTGATTTAGGCAAACTGTTATGGCCTGGTTTAGAGCTGGTTCTAGTGCAGCAAAGTTTGCTGTGAGGAAAACTTTATCTTATGGACACTCTTATGTAAGAAGAACACATGTTATTCCATCACAAAACCGTTACTTTCACTCTACACTCCTCAAACCGAAAGCACAAACAGCTCCGGTTCCACACCCTGTGCCCCTCTCTAGGCTTGCTGACAGTTTCTTAGATGGGACTAACAGTGTATACTTAGAGGAACTTCAGCGTGCTTGGGAAGCTGACCCGAGCAGTGTGGATGAATCATGGGACCAATTTTTCAGGAATTTTGTTGGGGATGCTCCAAAACATCCTGGTGTTTCAGGGCAGACCATCCAAGAAAGCATGAAACTTTTGTTGCTTGTAAGAGCTTATCAGGTTAATGGTCATCTGAAAGCAAAATTAGACCCACTGAACTTAGACCATAGGGTAGTGCCTGAGGTATTGAGCCCGGAATTTTATGGTTTCACTGAAGCTGATCTTGATAGGGAGTTCTTCATTGGTGTTTGGAAGTTATCAGGGTTTCTGTCAGAAAACAGGCCTGTGAAAACACTCAGAAGTATTCTTGACCGGCTTGAGCAGACCTATTGTGGGAGCATTGGTTATGAGTACATGCATATCTTTGATCGCGAAAAATGTAACTGGTTAACAGATAGAATTGAGACTCCAATGCCTGTGGAGTACAGTAAAGATCGCTGCAAAGTAATGCTTGATAGGCTTGTATGGAGCACACAGTTTGAGAATTTCTTGGCAAATAAGTGGTCAACAGCGAAAAGATTTGGCTTGGAAGGTTGTGAAGCGCTGATTCCTGGCATGAAAGAGATGATTGATCGGTCAGCTGAGCTTGGAGTTGAGAGTATAGTTATGGGAATGGCTCATAGAGGAAGACTAAATGTCTTAGGAAATGTTCTTCGCAAACCACTTCATCAGATTTTTAGTGAGTTTAGTATTGGTAGGAAACCTATCCCTGAAGACGCGCTCTATGTTGGAACTGGTGATGTCAAGTATCATTTGGGAACTTCTTTCGACAGACCTACTCTAAGTGGGAAGAGGATTCACCTCTCTTTGGTTGCAAATCCGAGTCATTTAGAAGCTGTGGATCCTGTTGTTGTTGGGAAAACAAGGGCCAAACAGTTTTATTCTAACGATGTGGAGAGAACTAAAAACTTGGGTATATTGATTCATGGGGATGGTAGCTTTGCCGGGCAAGGTGTTGTATATGAGACTCTACACTTAAGTGCTCTTCCAAGCTACACTACTGGTGGAACGATACATATTGTAATTAACAATCAGGTAGCATTCACAACTGATCCGAAATCTGGAAGATCTTCTGAGTACTGTACTGATGTTGCTAAAGCATTAAATGCTCCTATTTTCCATGTAAATGGGGATGATTTGGAAGCTGTTGTTCGGGTATCTGAGATTGCAGCAGAGTGGCGGCAGACCTTCCATTCAGATGTTGTTATTGACATAGTCTGTTATCGTAGATTTGGTCATAATGAAATTGATGAGCCATCATTCACACAACCCACCATGAACAAGGTAACTCTTATTACTCTTATATAGTATGCTAGTTTTCTTAGCTTGCATTCTGCTTGTTAAAACTTAAAAGTGCTACACCAATTTTTATTGCATGATCTTAACTTTGCCTGCTTTGTTTTAATTTGGTTTTCATACTTGTTTTAAGTCCAGAAATACATCTGCATCTTCAAAAGCCATCAGCATTTTAGGCTATCTGACAGAATGTTGCATACTTTCTTTTGATCGAAAAAGTAAATACTATCATCTCTTTTTCAAAAACATGGCAAAAACATTGTGGAGTTGAACTGTAACTGTAGATAAACAAGATCAATTGAATGAAAGATGTTAGCACTTAATGAAAATATAGCATGCAAAAATGATGTTTCCTAATGTTTTCCATGTACTAGTTTCTTTTAAGTTATAGATGAATTTTAATTATGATTGATTCAGGTCATTCGCAGTCATCACCCCGTTCTTGAGACATACAAAAGAAAACTTCTCGAATCTGGAATATTGTCAAAAGAAGATATAGAAGAGATTCAGAAAAAGGTCAACAGAATTCTAAATGAAGAATTCGAGGCCAGTAAAAGCTATGTTCCCCAAAAGCTGGATTGGCTTGAAGCAAATTGGGCAGGACTCAAGTCACCAGATCAGCCGGCACAGATACAGGATACCGGGTACATCTTATAAGATCTTCCCAATATCGCAATTTAATCTTTTGTATCTGTTATTTGATAAGTATTTTCAATCACAGGATTAAGGCAGACATGTTAAGAAGTGTTGGGAAGGCCATCTCAACCCTTCCGAAGAATCTCAATGCCCACAAAGTGGTAAAGAAGATCTATGAGCAACGTCGTGAGATGGTTGAAACAGGTCAAGGTGTAGATTGGGCCTTTGCTGAAGCTCTGGCCTTTGGGACTTTGTTGGTAGAAGGGATTCACGTTCGCATATCTGGTCAAGATGTTGAGAGGGGAGCATTCAGTCATAGGCATGCTGTAGTTGTTGATCAAGAGACAGAAGCGAAATACTACCCACTTAAACATGTCATGGAGAAGCAAAAGGCCGAGATGTTTACTATCAGCAACAGGTCAGGTTTACATACTTTGCATTGTTGTTTTGGTTGCTCATATCTTGTACATGCAGGCTGAATGGTCTTAAAGTCATGAACCTTATTCTAGGGTCTATTACCTTTATAACCTATAATTGCTTAATTAATGTATCTTGCTGAACTGAATTTAATTTGTTAATTTTTGATTTTCAGAGCTTAACATATTTTTGTAAAATTATCTTCGCTGAACTTGGAAAGAGGGAAGTTACAAAAGTATGCAGTTGTTGCTGAACTTATTTTTACAAAAGTACCCCTTGTAAACTAGTTTTAGCAAAGTGTGGGTTTCGACCTTTTTGAGAATCATTATGCTGATCCATTTGCATATTTAGCTACATCTATCTGTTGGCTTAATTATGCTTACAAGTTTATAAAACTTCCCTGATAAACGTGTTCAATATTTTAATGTAGCTCCCTCTCAGAATTCGGTGTTCTTGGATTTGAGTTGGGCTATTCGATGGAAAATCCAAACTCACTGGTACTTTGGGAAGCTCAGTTCGGTGATTTTGCAAATGAGGCACAAATTATATTTGATCAGTTTTTAAGCAGTGGGGAGGCAAAATGGTTACGTCAAACTGGGCTTGTGGCACTGCTGCCTCATGGCTATGATGGTCAAGGACCTGAACATTCGAGTGCTCGTTTAGAGCGTTTTCTTCAGGCAATTTCCCTTGAAAAATTTATATTTCATCCTTATAGTTTTCCTGCATTGGACTCTGACATTAATAGCTCTATATATCATTTTCCTTATTTGAAAACTTTTGATACTCAGATGTGTGATGACAACCCACATGAGATCGCAACTGATCCGATAAAGCAAATACAAGAATGCAATTGGCAAGTGGTTAATGTCACAACCCCGGCAAATTATTTTCATGTTCTGAGACGTCAGGTATATTAAACTAAGATGAGCTATTATTGAGGATATATTTTGGGAAATTATAGGATATATTTTGTGACCATATTTTATGGCTAGAATATCTTTCGGTTATCTTTTGTTAGTTTCCTAATTCTATCTCATTAGGGTAAACTTGTATTATATATTTGTCGTGGCAACCATCAATGAAATTTAAGCTATTATGTTCATTCAATTTAGCATGGTATTAAGAGCAGGTTAGATTTTGGGAGCGTTCACAAAAATTTCCCCTACCGGTGTATTAACCGGTGGGACAAAACTTTCGTCAAAAATATAACTTTTTTAAGCTTCTGCATATTAATGTTTTCTTAAGGATTTTTGATACTGTTTAATGATGATGAATTTGATGAACGTGAGTGGTTGAATGGTAGCTAGTGGGTTTATGGTGTCTTACTCTTGAGGCAAAGATGAACAAAGGCATCGATCTAAGTTTTATTTATTAAAAAAATATAAAAAATAAAATAAAAAATTCGGCTCTTCCTTAGAAAGGGTTTGTGATATGATTCAAGCATAATTTTGCGTTTTGGATTTGAGATTTTCTGTATTGATTTTATTATATCTCTAACAGATATCTATATTAGATTACTTTTGAAAGTTTGTCATTGTTCGGAAGAATTGACATACAAATTCATCAGGTTCACAGGGAATTCAGAAAGCCTCTCATTGTGATGTCTCCAAAGAACTTGCTCCGCCATAAGGACTGCAAATCAGAATTATCCGAGTTTGATGATATGCATCAAACTAGCTTTAAGCGTCTCCTGGAGGATCAAAACTATCAGTCTGATCTTGAAAAGGGTGTTAGACGTCTAGTTCTTTGTTCTGGCAAGGTATTTAATATTCCCACCTTTCCTGATTCATATCTGAAATCGTTACAAGGAGAAAAAATCAGTCAAACTTGAGAAAAATTGATTGCACGCATTGAAACAGATCTTACTTGAATCCTGCCTTCTTTGTTTTTTCAATTCTTTATATTGTTTTATATATCAGTGTAGTATGACAGTAGGAAAATTGACACCCCGATAAGGTTATGAATTCTTCGGATTGGAAATTCTCCAAATTTCACGTGTACACTTGATTGTCTTGAACCATTTATTTGTAGGGAAAATGTGATAAAGAAAAAGCAGATCAATGCGATATGTGCTCACAAATGGCCTTTGAGATAATTTTGACTAGATGCAGTCTACCTGATATGTGTACACATGCATTTATACAAGAAAATATCAAGCTAAAAGTCTTATGCAATTGAATATATGTTTTTAGAATGTCTTGTCCCTAACCTAAACCAAAGTTAAATATTTTGAGCAGTTAAATTACTCTGCTCATATTATTTAGCCTTAACTTGTCCGATGCTTGGATATGTACCCGTATTTGAATCATCATACCTGTGCTCATGTTGCTATCTGTGACATGTTGAGATTCCAAAACATTTCAAAACTTTGAGGTGTTGGTGCCTTGAATAGAATTTGCTTCTACTGAGGCGTATTTCACTACATCTTTCTGTTTTGTGTAATATGCAGGTGTATTATGAGCTTGATGACGAGAGGAAAAAACATAACAGCACGGATATAGCGATATGTAGAGTTGAACAAATCTGTCCTTTTCCCTATGATCTAATCCAGCAGGAACTTCAGCGATTTCCAAGTATGTTGCAGCAATTTTCAGCAGAATCTGCACTACTAAACATTCTGCATATTGTTATATGCTAATTATTAGAATTCTGACTATAAACTTGCAGTATCATATAATCTCTATAAGTTCATGTACTTCTCTTTTGACTGTTTCAGATGCTGAGATTGTGTGGTGCCAAGAGGAGCCGATGAATATGGGTGCATTCAACTACATAGCACCCCGTCTTTGTACTTCCATGAAAGCTCTTCGAAGGGGAAATATGGAGAGTATAAAATATGTGGGTCGTCCTCCTTCTGCTGCCACAGCCACCGGGTTTTATCAAGTTCATGTCAAAGAACAGAGTGAGCTTGTGCAGAAGGCCTTGCAGCCTGAACCAATTCATTTTCCTTGGTAAAGATGATGACTTCTGTAAAGACATGCATAATCCCACCTCCTTCCCTTTTTCACTTTTGTATGTTATTTTTACCATTGAATAAATGTGGTTAAAGTCTGTTTAGGACAATCTCAGAAAGTATTTTCTTCGAATTTGCTAAAGGTATTAAGGGGTTTAGTAATCAAATATGCGAAAAGACAATAAACACAATCCCCAAAAGAACGAGTTTAGAGTAATGAAATACTAGAACTATAATAATGATAATAATTATAAATCAAAGAACAAAGATCAAAGTAAGAGAGGTATTTCTGAATAAGGACGAGTAATATCAAAACTTTTAGTATAAAAGTGTTGTAATTTGTATTAACAATGTTTGAATGTATTCTATTACAAACAAAATCCTATTTATAATTATTTGTAAATATAAAAAGGTGATGATTAAAGAATCTTTATTATTTTGGTAATGCTGACAATATTGATTGGCATCTTCATCTTTTAGGAAATGTTGACTTAGTTGATTGATACTTCCTTGATTCACTCCTTAAATCATGGGACGTATTTCTGCTTGTCGCCCAAGCTGCCAAGCATTCATTACGCGTCACAAAATGGACCGAGCTTTGGAGGGAAGCTATGTTACTCAAAATGGCTTAGAAGGGCGATCGACTTACTCAGAAAGGTACAGTTAAGTCCTGCAATCAATAATAAGATTGGACCGCCGCTGCCCGGATAATATTCCGTCAATCAAGTGATTCGTTTCCTGAATTAGCTTTAATTGATTGATTCTGTTTGGGGTAAAATTACCCTATGCCACGTGGCCCAATGGCAAGCTGACACGTGTCAGCCCTAGAGAGGCCCAATGGGATCCAATCGGATGCTGACACGTGGCACTGTAACCCTAATAGGGGAACTGATCCTCTTCTACTATAAATAGAGGAAAATCCTCATTTAGTATACATTCATAAGTACAAACTCAAAAATCGAGCAATATTATTTGCAGAATTTTCTCTGAATCAGAGAGAAAATCCACTTACTTTCCGCACTTTTATACATCCGGAGACGTTCTAATTTGATCGTCGGAGGCGGAACTCCACCCACGGAGTTTCGTGGTTTTGCAGGTACATACAGTCGGCACGCATTCTCGGAATTGTAACTCTCCCGAGGGACTCCAAAAACCCCGAAACATTTGGCGCCGTCTGTGGGGAGAGTACTTCTAAGATGGCATTCGATTCTGTACGGCCTGGTGAAGGCAAGCGGCCTACGGCCGAACCTGTTTCGGGGGTTTTTGATGTGTCCTGTGGGAGAGTTACAATTCCTAGTATGTGCAACCGACCCCTGTACCTGCAAAACCACGAAGACTCCGGTTGATGGGAGCTCCGCCTCCGACGATCAAGTCAGTAACGTACAGGAGGTAATAAATGCGGAAATAGTAATTACTTCTCGCTAATACAAGAGGATTCTGCATTTAATATTGCTCGGGATTTGTGTTTATCTTTTTGGATCCCCATAAATGAGGTCTGACCCACTATTTATAGTGGAGAGACCAGTACCCCATCTAGGATTCAAAGGACACGTGTCTACAGGGGATTGGCGGCGCCCTGTTGACCTATGGCTGGCTGCCAGGTGTCGCAAGGCCATTGGGCCACGTGTCTAGGGTAATTTTTACCCTAAACATTTGCCCCTCTCGGGTGCTGATGTGGCGGGGCCACGTGGCGCCTGAGACGGTTTTTTTTTTCGAATTTGAATTCGAATTTTAAAGTGCAAGAAGCAGGAGGTGAAAAGGCGCGAGGGTTCGCCTTCTGAGGATTGCCTATAAATAGCAAACCTCCTCCCCCATGTTCATATTTACAACCTTAAGCGATTTTCAAAGATTTTGAGAGCAACCGGTCTTGAGAGCAAATTTCACCAGAAATTTTCCGAGTGCACATTCGGTTTTTCGCTTTTTTTAGAGAATTTTCTGCTGTCTGGGGGTGTTGTGGACAGCTTCACGAATTTGCAGCTGCTACTCAGAGGACACATCCGGCTATGAGGACGCCTGTGTCTTTGCGAGCCATTTGAAGACTTTCCAGCTTGGTCAAGCGGTTTTCTCTCCTTCTCAATTAACTTAGGTACCGCCTCTGTTCTTTCTAGCTCTTCCATGTATTTACGTTTGTGCTTCTTTCTTGCCTTTTTCTTTATTAGTTCCATAAGTAGATGGACCCTTTATACCCACACCCGGAACATAGCTTTGAGGCCAACCGGTCCCTCAGTACGGCTGAGTCTAGGACTGAGGGTGCCATCTCTGGGCATTGGAATCTTTCTTGTACATCTCCCAATCTGACCGTCTCCGTGTCTGTGCAGGACACAATGGCCAGAACCAGAAAGACGGCTGTGGATCCCAACTATAGAGGCGGAGGCTTAGAAGAGTTGCCGCCCAAGGAGAGGATCCCAGATGAGATGACAAGGGGATCTCCAAAAGGCACCCCTAGTGATAGCATTCTAGGGTCTTACAGTGGAGGCGGTGAGGAAGCCGCCTCTACTTCTAGAGCTGAGGATGAAAAAACCTCAGCAAGAGATGAAAAGAACCCCGCTTCCAGTTCCGGCTCTGAGTCCGGCTCTGATGAGAGCGACAGTAGCAGCATCAGCTATCTCACGCCGTCTATGGATAGCGAGGAGGAGGAGAGGCCTACATGGAATAATAAAGGCGACCCTCTCATGATCACCGTCTCTGCAAAAGGCAGGGCTAACATGCAGAAAAATTTAGCCAATTTCGTACTCAAGCGGCCCTTGGGAGAAGGGTACAAGTTAGCCGTCCCGCCTGAGATTGGGACCATTGCCTGGGAAGATAACCAGCGCAATGCAGACGATTTCTTTGGTTGCTATGAGGCGGCATTTTTAGCGGGGCTCCGCTTCCCCCTTCATAACACAATAAAGGCCATACTCAGGGGTTATGGCCTAGGCGTCTGGCAACTTACCCCCAACTCTTGGGTAAATATTCTGGGGTATATTGCCGCCTGTGAAATGCAGAATCTGAACCCCGGCTGGGAGGCTTTCGCCTACATGCATTACCTGAGTCGGAACCCAGGCAGTTGGAGGGCCTGGTACACTTTGACAGCATATCCCTAGTACTTAATGACGCTTGACAAGCCGTCAAAGTGGTCGGATTGGAAGGACCGCTTTTACCTGGTCAAAGCTCCAACCAATGAGGAAAATCGGGAGCTCCGGACATACAACCGAAAGCCTGAGTTGCTTGGGAAAAAATGTAAAATGCCCCAGATACCGGATTCTTTGAGCTCACCACTTCCACTATCTCAACCGGCGAACTTATCAGTGTACCCAACAATTGGGTACCCAAACATGAGTTCTTGAGGGACGAGGCGTTCCTGTCCGCATGCGGGCTGAGCGCCATGTTTAAAAAATGTAGGTTGGAGGACTCAGCCGGCCAACTTGTGACAGATGTATGTTTCTTGCTTCGCTTAGATATTCGTTTTTGTACTTTTTCTAACCAGGCGTCTCATTGTTATTTTGCAGCTGAAGGCCTAGCCATGTTGCCAACATACAAGACGCCTGCTAAGAAGGCCTCTGATATCCAAAAGGAGAATGTAGAGAAAAAGAAGGCTTCCCAGGCGGCTAAGAAAGTAAGTCCGCCTGTCCTATTTGCGTATTACTCTATTTTTTCTTCCATTCAGTTGTTTCAAATCTAACCGTTTGACCCCTTTTTACCATGTTTCAGGATGGGAGCAAGGTTCCTCTCTCTCTTTCCAAACAACTCCGGCAAAAGCCGGTTGGGGAGGAGCCTGCTCCAAAGGTCCAAAAGACCTCTCATGCTGACCGACTGACTGTCGGCGGCAAAACGGTGAAAAACACCGGAATAGGGTTCGACCTTTCACACGGGAGGTCGGACGTCCCTTCGGCACCCCAAAAAATAGGCGGTACATCTGCCGAAAAAGGCCCACGCGGCACTCAGAAGACCCAAGGTACGGATGACCCCTCCAATCTCACTCTACTTGGTCTGCCCATGCGAGTCAAGTCTTACTCCCAACTCTAGCCAGAGGACTCGTCATCCAGCCGGCAATCTATTGGAGGGGCGTTTGCTCCTTTCTCACCGTCTGTTTCTGGTGCAGATAAATCTCCTCACTGGCCGAACGTGACACAATACGCCCGGGCCATGCTGAAAGTCATCCCTAAGGACGAGAAGGAAGCGATCCCTGGGATCAACGCCTTTAATGCTGACCGTGTGATGGTCAGCCTGGCTGAGGTAATCTTATACATCCGTCTCTACTTTAAACAATAATCTCATACTTGTCTGATTTCTTCTAACACCGGCTGTGTCTTTGCAGTCATTGCTGCGCGTGGAGGGGCTAAAGAGAGCCTATGCACGCAAACAAGAGGAGGTAAGGAGAGCCAAACGGGATGCCAATGACGCCCATATTGTAGCTCAGTATTCAATGATTGTGCATGACTTAAAAACTAAATCTATAATCATGCAACAATGCAAGCGGACCAGATCAAGACCCTTCAAAAGGCCCTCAATGAGTCAAAGGTCAAGGCTGACAACCTTCAGGTGGCGTTGGAGAACGCTGAGACGGAGTAGAAGAACCACGAGGATTCTCTCCGGACCTTGGAGAAGACTCAGAAGGAAAACTCTTCCCTGAAGAAGGAGAATGACCTCCTGAAGAAGGAGGCTGCCACTTCAAAGAAAAACTTTGAGGCAACCCTTAGGCGGAACAGAGCCGACTCATTGAGGAGAATGAGCAAGACTGCGAGAACCGCATGAAGCTGGCGTTCTTCCTGATTCACCCAGAAGCTGGCGTTCTCCTTGATTCACCCAGAAGCTGACTACACTGCCTGGGAGCTCCCCTATCGATACGCATATCTCGCCATTCTGGCTAAGGAGGAAGGTCAGCCGCACCAGAGCCCTATGAGCAATGGGCCAAGAAGGAAATTGAAAAGATGCAGGCTGAGGCAGCCGAAGAGGAGGAGTACTACCAGGCGAAAGTTGAGGAAACCGCCAACCTTCTTGGCTCTGAAGCTGTTGCCAACCAGGCCCAGCCACACCAGACTGAGGCGCCCAGTGCTCAAACACCAACAACCCGGCTGACTCTTGAAATTGAATGAATGTAATTTTCGGCCTGTGTGCCGTGTATCTTTGTATCTATTTTCAC